CAGCTCGTATCAGAGAGAAGAAAAGACTTGCGAAATCACGAAAAGTTCAAGAGACAAGTCAACCTCCTGGATCTACATAATTATATTTTTATTTATTTTTATTTTGTGACTGTACATACTCCATCCTTTACGTATGACAAAGGACCTGCGACGTACACCTTGCCTACCTTCCACCTTTCCGACCATAAGCTATGGAAGATTCGCCACATGTGAACCAACCTATAGAAAATCAAGAACTTTACGAAAAGACATTAAAAATACTCAGGAGGGAATGGAAATGGGCGGCGGCATCGGATTTCTTCTATAAATTCAACCCAATGCTTCGTCTCGATTTTTTAGATCTGGCAGTATGTACTTCTATTCCGTTTACTTTGGCATTTTGTCTTCCATCATTGGGATATTCAGTCAGCTACAATACTGCAATGGCTGACCATTCGTCGGCTATTTCATGCTGACTTTGATATCTACAGGACGTAGAACACGACATCATCCAAGGATCATCTGAAACAATCATGCCAGTGTTTCTTAAAATGCTCCATGTCCTGACGTCCATCCGCGGCCTTGCGTATGTCACCCACAATTTTGTGTCGCGTCCTGTTTAATTCAATAACGCGTTTTTCCTCAGACATGACACATGGGAGCAATATCTGAGGCGTTTATACTTGCGCCGCGTTCCAGATGACCGTGTTTGGGGAACGGAAGAGGAGCCAATTGCCTGGAAGGAGCTCACATGGATGAGTCGGTTGGAAATCCTATATACGCTCTGTGAATGGCAATTTCAGACTCCTTTAAAGGTCAGACAAGCCATGAAGGATGACAGTGATGATGCGGCTTGGGTTAGTAGACTTCTTTCCAAGTTGGACACCACACTCATACATCCTGAACCAGAGATCAGTACCTATTGGTCGTGATGCACAGAGAAACACATATTGGCATCTTGGGCGTGCGTAGTTGTCCGCTTATACCTTTGAATTTTAGCTCATAATTTTGATCTAGGTGACCGTCTATGGATCCAGAGATTTGTCGAAACAACCCCTCCTACTCAAAAAGAACTCAAACGTAGAAAACATCCTACACAACCATCTCAACAGGCCAAGCGCAAGGCTACACACAACGGCATCAAAAAGTCTGCAGACTCTGCCTCTAAGCGCAAGGGAAAGAAAGTAGACCCCCCTAAGGCCAAAGGAAAGCTTACAAAGCCATCTACAAGTCGTAATAATCCACGTACAGGCCGACGGATTGATCGAGATGGATGGCAAAAAGTTCCCGATTCATGGTTGCGAACTCAGGAAGGGTCGAGCGAGGAGAAAGATGTCACGGCCCTGTTTGATGATGCTTCAGATCTGACTGATCTATCTGAGGAAGATCGCAATGATGTTAATGGAGGCGGATCTTCGCAAACAAATCCTCCCGACGACTCCGAGTCAGATTTGACTGAGATGGACGAGGAAAATAGTCAGGATGAAGGTAAACCCGAAACGACTACCAGTAATGGCTATAAAACAGGGGAAACTGGAGTGAAGTCGAACCAGGCGCGAGATGATTCAGAATTTGTGGAGTTTGAGACGGTGAGCACTTTATCGTTCGAGTGACTAGTCCATGACAAAGAATCAGATTTGCGTCACAATCGGCGAATGGAAGGAATTTGCAGAGCGCTTTAAAAATGTTCGGAGCCTCAATGAGCGAAGGCTCTATCGATATGTGACACTCGTAGTGATACCCGAAATGGAAGAATACCAACAGGTCAGTATAAGATGCCAAGAATTAGACGGATTGGATTCATTTTTGTGGTTCCAGGCTCTCGAAGAGAAGCAGAAAAAGGAGCTCAAAGAATTGCTTCGAAGAGAGCAGCTGGCGGCGGCAGTGGCAGCAGCGGAGGCTCGTCCCAAGCGCTCAACCCGTCAAACTGCTCTATCATTGGTTGATGATGAGAGGAGGAAAACCGGGTCTCAAGCTTCAGCAGATGGAGACGGCTCTGATGCTCAACTAGGGTTTGGAACTTCTCGAGCACGACGAGCCGTTGCTAGAGGAGCAAGGTGGGATGAGGAGCAAGAACGGCTATATGCAAAAGCTCTTGAAGATGAGAATAACGACGATGAAGAGGAAGAAAAGAGTGACGTGGAGACAGAAGGTATCTTTATGCCTTAACTTGATATGAAGGCAACTGACTCTGCCATAAGCTGAAGTTTCGGGTAATACCTCAACAAGAAGGCGACGGAATGCGCGAGATCAAGACGAATATAAAGATGAGGAATCCGAAGACGATCAACGAAAAGGTGCACCTGTAAATGGGCTCGGTAGACCACGTCGAGCAGCGGCAGTGAAGGCAGAGCAGAACCGCCCTGTACGACCGACTAGACGAAGACGCGCACGGAGTGAGAGTGATGAAGACCGAGAATCTGACGATCCGTTCTTCCTAAGCTGCGAGGTTTGTAAGAAATCGGGTTGGAATGAGGTAATCATCATGTTATAACTTTATTCTCTCATTTTACTGATACACATTCTAGGATAACCGTCAACATTTGATATGTTGTAAAGTCTGCAATATATGGCAACAGTACGTATGAGACATCCTATCTTCTATGCTGATCTCATTCTTGTATAGCATGTCTTGCCATGATCGTGCGGATAAAATCGAAGGACGTCCAAAGCGCGACTGGAATGAGGAAGAGTTTACATGCTCCGCTTGTATTCTTAAAGCGCAAAACAAACCAAAAAGGCGGGGCAGGAGACCAAATAACCAACGTCCTGTTGAGGAACTTTCACAGTTCTCTTCACAGAATCAGCCTCCAGATTCAGAATACCTTGTTTCTCAGGACTCTGTTTCAGGGGATGCAATGCAAATCGAAGTTCCCCACGCGGATTCTGCTGTGAAGTCACTGGTGCATACATTGGCTCCTGAGGTGCCTCCCATGGAATTGCCCACTGTGACCAGCAACCAGGCCAACGGAAATGGACAAATTGACGTCGATATGATGAGTCAATCTCCAAATGGAAACGAAGCTCGCCCCTTCCACCATCCGGCTCCGCGTCCCATTTCTCCTACTTCCTTTGTTCAGCCTATATTACAACAGCGAGTCGATCCAGATTACGCGTTACAACAATTCCCTGCCCCAGTCATGGCTGGTGCAAATTTATGGCAACTACCTACTGGCAACATGACCAACGGGTCTGGACACGTGTAGTGAGGATCAACCTCTACCTGTTGGGGCATCATTCGTTTGACTTGTGTTAATATGACATGAATACCTACTTGCGTAGTAATAGAACCCTTTAGCTATGAGGGTCTCCCCTCATTTATTCACCATTTCTCCTGATCTTGGATCTTGTATAGAAGTATCTTATTCCTGGACCTGACATTACCCAATTTAATATTTCTTTTGTAAATTCTGCTTTTTCCGTTATATCTCTGATATTTGTATTTCGGAGGTTCCGGAGTGTGATACCTTGTGGTGACAATGAATAATGATTCATGATCCCTCTCCATGACATGAACAACAACTCTACCTCCCTACGGCGAGGAAAAGGTGGACCAGATTATCTTGAAACCGAGAATAGTGTTGAAAAGCTCAGACTTGTCGACCTGACTGTGCAAACACCGACCTCACGAGAACCTCCCGCCAATATCTCACTTCAACTCGCACCTCCACGATGGAGAACCTTAGAATTTCGCATCTATGGGCTATTATTCTTGTTGGTAGTTCCTTTGATGGTTTACTCGCCAGTTCAACTTAGCCAAGGCAAGTCGAGTCGTTTAATAGAAGTCAGATAGGAGACTTACTAAATTTTCACTTAGAATCCCACTCTAACTATGCATCATACCGTTTTAAACTATCCAAAGGCTGGATAGGTAGTCGCCTGATTGTAAGAACTCCCATGGTCGAATAAGTCGGTGACACTAATCGAACTCAAGGACAATTCCGATCCACAATATCGCTCATTTAGGGGCAATTTATTCATTTTGACCGCTCTTGCAACTTCTCATGTGGTTTTATCTCACATTTATGCCCTACTAGTTTCTCGAATGGGTTCTCGTGCGGCAGGCAAAAGAAGTGATAACCTTCATCGCATACCCTTCATGGCAGCTTTTGCTGTGATCCTCACTATAGCCTTGCATGGTTCCAGTGCTCTGAAGGTGTTCCTCATAATTGTAATCAATTATACGATAGCCAAACGCCTTGCTGGCTCTACCCTAGGTAACCTTATAATTTGGATCGTTAACCTCGTCATCCTGTTCGCGAACGAAATTTATGATGGTTATAATTACTCATCCATTCACTCCGCATTTGCATTTCTGGTAAGACATCACCGTATTAGAGTCCCAAATCTCTGACATTCTCCTAGGATACATATCGCGGATTTTATCCCAGGTGGCACATTTCATTTAATATTACAATGCTCCGTCTCCTTTCATTCAGCATAGACTACCGCTGGGCATTGTTAAATGAGAGTCCTGTACGCATCTATCTACCTCCTGAACCAAGCTAACCCACCTTTAATGCATAGTCCTCTGTGCCTCTGAATGTACGACAAAGGGCCTCGCATAGTCATCCCCAGATCATGTACAATTTTGTGAACTATTTGGCCTACACGCTCTATTCGCCATTGTACATCGCGGGGCCCATCATGACCTTCAATGATTTCATCTGGCAGGTCAGCTGCTATATTAATTTTCTTAAGTGGATCATCTGACTCGTAATAGATGAGAAGGCCGATCAACATCGACAGGAAATCTGTTCTTGGTTACGCTCTCCGATTCGTTGTGTGTCTCTTGACCATGGAGCTTATTCTGCACTACATGTATGTAGTAGCCATAAAGGATACCAAATCCTGGTACGGGGCTACTCCTATGGAGCTCTGTATGATCGGATTTTGGAACCTGATAATTGTCTGGTTGAAGGTAATGGAATAAAACCACAGGTGTCTCAAGACTGACATAACCTTAGCTTCTACTTCCATGGCGCTTTTTCAGACTATGGGCTCTAGCTGATGGTATACAACCTCCTGAGAACATGATTCGTTGCATGGCAAACAATTATACCGTGGGCGGATTCTGGAGAGGATGGCATCGTAGCTTCAATCAATGGCTTATAAGGTCATCATAACTCTCAAATGGTTGCAGTCAACTGATCTCAAAGCCAGGTACATCTACGTTCCGCTTGGAGGTAGTGCGAATGTTATTTTGGCTACCCTGGTGTCCTTTACGTTTGTCGCTCTGTGGCATGACCTCAAGTTGAGATTATTGGCGTGGGGTTGGCTAGTGACGCTTTTCGTGATTCCAGAACTAGTCTTGAGCAAAGTATTCACCCGGTCGAAGGTATGCCTATTAACGTGGCTTATACATTAACTCATTACGTGTCAGTTTGGTGATCAATGGTGGTATAGGCATCTCCGGGCCATTGGGGGCGTTGGGAATGTACTTATGCTCATGGTCGCAAATTTAGTTGGGTTTGTAATCGGCTTAGAAGGGATAAAATATCTGGGGACACAACTAGTAGGAACCTGGAGTGGTGAGTGCTTATATGTTCCTCGTCATAGATACTGCCGATTATTAACGAGCTTCATAATAGGCGTTGGATTCATTTTCCTTGCATGCGGTTGCTTATTTGTGGGGGTACAAGTAATGCTCGAGTATCGAGAAGAAGAAAAGCGTTCAGGGGTATATAGGAAATGTTGATAGAGTGTCATTCAACCTCTTCGAATAATGGGAATTTGTTGTCGTGTCATATCATTACGAGCACATGTGAGGCTGGGCTATTGCAACGTCACTCTTACCTCTACCTCTCCCTTTGGCTCCCTCTCAATAATCATTATTTTAGAATGTGGATTTTCGACTGGTTCTGGGACATTCTTGCTCAACTGGGTGAGCGGCTAAATGGTGTTATTTCTTACCTTCTGCTCACGGGAGTGTGTTTCTGTCCGACAAAGGTTTGGCGCACAAGAATGCCAAAATCCTCTTCCTTGGGCTTGACAATGCTGGAAAAACCGTTCGTTCATCGTTTATTTTCTCGAGCTAATAGCGTGCTGACCGCAGTCCTTGGATCAGACGCTGCTCCACATGCTGAAGAACGACCGACTGGCCACGTTACAGCCAACGTTGCACCCTAGTGAGCTCTTTCTACACAAGAAACATCATAGCATGGGTATTGATAGCAAATTATAGCGTCTGAAGAGTTGGCTATTGGCCAGGTTAAATTTACTACCTACGACTTGGGAGGACACCAACAGGGTCAGTAGGCGCATATGAGCGGATTGCATTTTCTGAGTCAATAATATCCAACAGCTCGACGTCTTTGGCGTGATTACTTCCCCGAAGTACATGCCATTGTGTTCATGGTCGACACTGCGGATGTAGAGCGTTTACCCGAGTCCAAAGCGGAACTTGATGCCTTGCTATCAATTGAAGAACTCTCAAAAGTTCCATTTGTCATTTTTGGAAACAAGATTGATGCTCCGGGTGCCGTGTCTGAGGATCAGTTGAGACATGCGCTTGGTGTCTTCCAAACCACTGGAAAGGTGAATGCCAACCCATTCTCGGAAACCAACAGCGCTAATATTCGATGTGTCTCCGTTGATATCTAGGGAAAGGTCCCGCTCCAAGGCATTAGGCCCATTGAAATCTTCATGTGTTCCGTTGTCCAAAGGATGGGTTACGGTGAAGGCTTCAATTGGCTTTCCCAATATGTGAGTAGTACCTCCTTCTACTCAAGCCGCATATTCTGAATCAAATACATTTAGGTCTAATTCATAAGTGTTTCTCTTGGCGGACAACAGAATTACAGAGATGATGCGTACAGTTTGGTCACCTTTCTGTCGTTGTTTTTATTTTTAGTCATTAGTTACTTCTATACATGCTAGTTTTCTGAATATAAGCGTTGCATTGAGAATTGAGCAATCTGTGGTGTTGATCACCTGTCTGGTGGTAACTTGCTTCCAACCGTCCGTAACCCATACGCCATGAAACGGCCATAATCACTCTCAAATCGCGGACCTACGACTTCACGATATGATTTGAACATTGCTTTGCTTTTTGCATTCGAGCTATCTCCCAGGTGTTCCGACTGTCGGTTGCATGAGGGTAAGGATCACCGCCCCATTTTTGGTGCATCATTAGAGTTTTGCAAGCTAAAGTACATAGAAGAATAATCTAGCGTGGTTTCTGTAACGATTACAGCGTTAAGTGTCAAAAAGAAGGTTGGATGGGTATACGTCGGGGGACACCCTAGTGAACGTCAGGGGTCAACTCTGCAACGAGGCAGGCCACATCTAGCAGATTTTACGATTTTTTGGTCTACCTGCTCGAGTCTCGTGCATGGTGTGTCGGGCAACGGGTGGCTACATAATTCAGCGCTAAGGCGTCAAGGTCAAAACAGGGCGCAAACATTTACCGTCCACCGATTTGGACCGCGAAAATTCACCAAAAATTGTCGGAATGCAATGCCGCGAAATGAGCAAACAAAATCGTCTACCTTACGCAGTCGCCAGCGAATTACGAACAAGACCCGACTCAGGGTTGTCCACGGCTCCATCGATGCTGAGACGGTCACGATCGGCGAAGACGACGGTCGTGGTGCCCTCCATAGTACCCAGGGTGTCGAAGCTGAAGACGCTGCAGTAAGTCGATTGGCCACCGCTCGCTTTGCTGGCGGTTGGTAACATGTTGCTGCTGACTCAGCATGCTAACGTAAGCACGTTTCTAGGAGCACCACTTGCAACAGGTCCTCAACGCAGCCAATAATTCTGCAAATAATCAGCAAAGGAGCCAAAGGCCTTCTACTGGAGATGCCGCGACACAAACGGCATCGGCCACTCTCCAACCACCCCAGGAGGCGCATTTTATCCCAACTCCCGATGCACAAGGCGTCGTGGGCAACTACGACGACCTATACGTTCCAAACTCGCACGAGATGCCTTATGCTATCCTAATGTTCTCGGATACCGTGGAGGAGTGCCGCACTTATGGCCTTGCGGGGCGCTCCTACACTATGGATGAGCAAGACGCGGCCTGGTTAGAGAAATGGAATAAACAGGCTCGTGGCGAAGGTACAAGCTACAGTACTACTCGACGCTCGCGAAATAAGGCCAGCGAAGCCGAGGAAGAGCCTCAACTGGTGATCACTGAGGATTGGTTTGAGCTTTGCATGGGCATGTTCGAAAAGTTCGCATCCGAACACTATCCATATCTTCACGTGGTACGTTGCTCTATCCATCAGATGATTTTCAACTCACCGTTTTACTAGGATTCCTCTTGTCCACCATTTTCCTTCTTTCAACCTCTTTTCCAAATGCCGTATACGCCATCACTTTTTGCTTCCTCGCTCATTCCTGATGGATTACCGGATCCAAGCGAACTTGCTCAGATGGCCAAGGGTATCTATCCGCACTGGGCGGAGCGGAAGGGGGAAAGGAAAGGGCGGTCAATCATTCCAGACGTAAATGTACGTGTACCCATGTCCTTATGTACTCATACTCATATGTCTCATAGTTGGATGAAGCCGATGAAGGAAATGTCTATGTTTGCTTCCGTAGGCGAGAGATCAAGCCAATTCGAAAGACTCGACGCATGGAGACAACCTCAATCGACAAGCTGACTCGTTTATCTGTGGAATTCCAGTCCGCACTTCAGTTGGCTACAAGAGCCATCGAGCGTGAAGAGGCAAAGAAGGAGTTATGCGATATGGATCAAGTCGTCTGGACCTGGCGTACCCAATTGGTCTCTATCACGAGCAAATTCCCTGATCTACGCAATCCGGACGATGATAAATGGCTGGTTGACAAAGAAAAGGTCAAGAAACTCAAAACTCCTGGCTCTCTGTACGTTCTTTTATTATATCCATCGACACCCACCATCTCATTTGCTATCTCTACAGACCACCAATTACCATTCCCAAAAGTGCCGCCAATCCCGGTAAACTCGATGACCTTCCTGATCTTGGACCGCCGCAAGTTCATCCAAGAGAAAGGTATAGAGATATCCAGTACAAGATCGAACAAGACCTCCAAAGAAAAAGAGACCAAGATGTTCTGGGATGGGAGGATGTTACAAATGTAATGGCAACTCTGAATTGGTTTTACCTCTAACTGACGAATTTTAGATGCCTCTCCAACCGTCGTTACCGACTCATCAACGGTATTTCCGACCTCTCAATGGTACGAAGGCTTCAGAAAACGTGCCCATCGAGCGTTCAGGTCGACCGGCAGCGTTCAGGCATCGTATTGGAAGAGGAGGTCGCCGCTATCTCGACCGTCGAGATTCACCTTTCACATCATCACCCCTTGCAACCCGCACTAATGTCAAAACTCCTCCCCGAGACCCTTTCGCTTTTGGTATATTATCCACTTATCCCGCTTCATCAATCCAAATCCAGCCTTGGATCGGGTTCCCTCATGCTACTCAACCCACCGCTGAAAACAATGACGAGGCGACTAGTTCGGATGAGGTTGATGTAGAACTAGTCAAAAGGCTCGAAGAACGATGCAAGTTCGATACTGACCTTGTTTCGGCAACTAAACCTCCTGTCCGGACCGTTATTGATGACTTCGATCATCGGTTAGTAACCTTAAAGGCTGATTGACACCCTATGCTAACATTCCACTAGTCAAAGCATGCAACGCTATGCTCTTGTGAAAGACCGCGAATGGTTGTT